CAATCAAGAATATCCTAGTGTTGTTGTTTTGTTCTTTTTAAATTTTTCACATTGTTTCTGTAATTTTTTGATGTCAGAATGGGTAATCAGATTGGAAATATTGTTGTTTTTTTGATGTGACCTCAACAAATATGGGAGTACGTCTGGAAAGACTTGAGTTTAAAAAAATATTCCAAGTTTAAAAAATTATGAAAAAACATGGGAAAAGTATTGATTGAAATAGTTGAGTTTCTTAGAATGGAGGCAATTCTTAAAATTCAGGTGAGAAGATGTGAGGGATGAAAATGAAATATCTTTTTTTTCAAAGCAGATGTATGAAATCTGCTAGGTAATGTGGAACTGTAGTTGAATACATAAATCCAATGGTTAGACACTATCTGTGATGAAAGGCTGCCTTCAGCCTGCCAAAGTCACGGAGGATAATACTGCCATTTGATGTTAAGTTGTCTGGGGCTGTTAGCAGAGTAAAAATAACTTCTACTTTACTCACACTTGAAATATTATCTTCTCTCTGCTAAGGACTTTATATATCTCATTCCAATCTTCAACAATACTGTGAGGTACTATTTGTATCAGTTAAGATGCTTTTGGTAGCAAGTGTCCATTTAAAGGGGTTGGAAGAGCAAGGAAATGAATTATATCAGAAATGTAAAAGTTCAGTGGAAACCGAGTAATAAGAAAAGTACTGTGAACAATAACATGACAATAAATCAGGTAACCTAGAAGAAATGGATAAATTCTTAGAAATAACCTATCACAGCAAAATATAAAGACACACAAAGTCTGGATACACAGGGTGATTGGATCAATAATCAAAAACCCGCCAACACAGAAAGCTCCAGGACCATATCGCTCCACTGGTAAATTCTACCAAACATTTAAAAAAGAATTAATGCCAATCCTGCTCAAACTCCTCCAAAAAATTAAAGAAGGTGGAACATTTCAATCTCATCTTATAAGGCCAGCATTACCCTGAAACCAAAGCCAGACAAAGACACACAACATAATAAAATTATAGGCCAATATGCCTTGATGAGCATAGATGCAAAAATCTTGACAGTACAAATTCAGCAGTACATTAAAAAGATCAAACACATGATCAAGTGAAATTTGTCCTGGGATGTAAAGATGGTCCAATACATGTAAATCAATAAATGTCATACACTGTATTAACAAAATGAAGGATAAAAGTCATATGATCATCTCAATAGATGCAGAAAAGATTTGACAAAATTTAACATCTTTTCATGATAAACATTTTTGAGATGGTGGGTATAAAGGGAACATACCTCAATATAATAAAGCCATATATAACAAGGTGGCAGCTAACATCATACTTAACAGTGAAAAGCTAAAAGCTTTTTGTTGAATGTCGGGAGATAGACAAGGGTGCTCACAACTTAGCCCTTTTATTCCACATAGTACTAGAAATCCTGGCCAGAAAAATCAAGCAGGATAAAGAACTAAAGGCAAAGAAATAAAAGTTTGAAAAGAGAAAGTAAAATGGTCTCTGTTTGCAGATGACATGATATGTATAGAAAACCCTGAAGACTTCATCAAAACACTAATGTGTACATTAATACTAATTAGTTAGTACTAATCAACAAATTCAGTTAAACTGCAGGATGCAAAATCAGTATACAAAAGGCAGTTGTGTTTTTGTACACTAACAATGAATTACCAGCCAGAGAAATTAAGAAGACAATGTCATTTTCAGTAGACTACAAAAGAAAAAAATAATTAGAAGTAAATTTAACGGAGGTAAAAGATCTGTGTACTGAAAACCAACACATTGAAGAAGATACAAATAAATGGAAATATATTCTGTGTTAATGGATTAGAAGAATTAGTATTGTTAAAATGTTGCCTTGGCTGGTGTGACCCAGTGGACTGAGTGCCAGCCTGTGAACCAAAGGGTCATCCATTCAATTCCCAGTCCGAGCACATGCCTGGGTTACACAGGCCAGGTCACCATTAGGGGGTGTTAGAGAGGCAACCATACATTGATGTTTCTCTCCCTCTCTTTCTCCCTTCCCCTCTGTCTAAAAATAAATAAAATCTTTTTTAAAATGTTAATATTACCCAAGGTGATTTACAGATTCAGTGTAATCCCTATTAAAGTTCTAATAGCATCCTCCACATAAATTGAAAAAACAATTCTAAAATATGTATGAAACCACCGAAGACCCCAAAGCCAAAGCAATCTTGAAGAAAAATGTTGGAGGCATCACACTTTCTGATTCCAAAACTATATCATAAAGCCTTATAATAAAAACAATGTGGTATTGACATAAAAATAGACACATAGACCAGTGGCAGAGAATAGAGAGCCCAGAAATAAATCCATATATGTAGGGCCAATTAATTTATGACAAGAGAGCTGTTCCACTTCTGGTTATCTACCCCTGAAAAAGGTCATCGTTATCTCAGATATCTGTAGTTCCATGTTCATTTCAGCATTGTTTACAATAGCCAAGGTATGGAAACAACCTAAATGTCTCTTGACAGATAAATGGATATAGAAAGTGCGACACACACACACACACACACTCTGGAGCAATATTCAGCCACAGAAAGAATAAAGTCCTGCTATTTGTGACGACATGGATGAGCCTGAAGGGCATTATGCTAAGGGCAGAATGGGAAAATTAAGAAGAGGTTGGTAAAGGGTACAGATTTTCAGTTATAAGGTGAATAAGGCCTGAGGATCCAATATATAGCATACTAGCTATAGTATTCCACACTATAAATGTGTTTTAAAAAGTAGAATTTAAGTGTTCTCATTATCCACACAAAAAGTAAATACGTGAGACGATAGATGTGGTAATCAACTCATTGGCGGGAATATTTTCATAATGTTCATGCATAATAATCATTCGGTTGTACCCTTTAAATATATTAGTTTGTCAGTAGTACCTCAGTAAGGTAGAAAAACAATTCCAGTAGCCATTTGGGGAGATCAAGTCTTGGGCCCTATTTTTCTGTGCTGTTTTCAACCATGACCTTTACCTTGTGTCATGGTGGCCTTCCCATTCAACCAAAGTTGGCTGCCAGGTGGTCTGCAGCCCCTCTTCATTGTTCTTAGCTGATGGCTAAGAGGGAGAATTTAAGCATAGGTATTAATCCTTCTCTTCAGTGTGTTTAGGTAAATTTGGGTCACACCTGGACCAAAAACCTCCCAGGAAATATGTTTCTAGAGCAATTCACTAGCAAAGCAGATATGGTTACAGTGATTCGCTCACCAATAAAGATGTACCCTGGGACCTAATGACTTAGGTCCACATCCTCTATGTCCCATGGCTATGAGGTCTTGTTATAAAGAACATAATGGGTGCTAATTAAACAATAGACAACTACATTCCACTTCAGTACTGTTATTCTGCATTTATAGATGTAGAAACCATAAAGGCAAGAGGTTCATCAACTTTAAGGTAGAAAATGGCAGAAACAGAATGAGGAGGAGAAGAGAGAATAAAAAGGAAGAGGAAAGGGGGAAAAGAAGGTGACAAACTCTTCTATCACACTGAACTATGTGTCAGGCACTGTTGTAAGCACTTTATACAGCATTAAAAATTAACATATTTGATTCTCACGACACACCTACAGGGATGGTGCTGTTATTATCCCCACTTTACAGTTGAGAACACAGAGGCCACAGGTTAAGTACCTTAACCAAGAGCAAAACCCTAGGGATTTGAATGCGGAAAATCTGGCAGCTCTGGAATCCACATTTGAACCACTCCACTGTACCACTACCGGCCTGCCAGGGCATTTGTTTGTCTTTGTGGGCTAATCTTTTGCTTTTTGGGCCCACTGATTCTGCAGCTTGCCTAGACTTTACATGGCCTCTCCACCCATTAGGTGCTGATGAATTTGACTTTGATTCTCCGCTCTGTTTCATTGAATGAAAAGTGCAATCCTATGAGTTGTCTTGAATTCCTTTGCTTTCTGGGAGGTTACTTGTACTTCCTGATGTTTCTTCTACTCTCATTCTGTTCTTCATCGTATGTTGATTAAGGAAAGAGCAGTAAAGGTTAAAAAAGCTATCACTTGTAAATGTACATTAACAAAAAGAAAAAGACATCACTTAGACAGTTCTTTTTGATCAAGACATCCATGGAACCATTAAATGCATTCTCTTTGAAGATGAATTTTATTTTCATTTTTGTTCCTCTTTAAAGCATAGAGAAGAGAATGAGAAAACTACTTTGGATGTGGAGTGAAGACTGTTGCTGAAGCCACCTCATAGGCCAATCGGAATTTAAAACGAGGTCTCAGATTATTCTAACATTCCAAATATACCTTAGTGAGTGAAGTTATGTGTGCTGATGAAAAGAAATAAACTTGATTTTTAAGTTTATTTAGTGACACACTGAAAGAAGTCGTTAGAAGAGCACATGCCAGAGGCTGAGGGATGCAGGTGTTGTGTGTGGTGTGGTAGACATTTGAGAGGCCTCTTCTTCGGTCCTGGCTCCATCTCTGTGAACTCTCTGCATTGCAGTTTGCTGTTTGTAAAATGTTTTTGTAAGGCTACATTCTGAATTTGGGTATTATTCCAAGTTGTTCCACCTCCCCAATCTTTACTGATATAACCTCCCTCACTCTCACCCAACTGTGCTCTGGTGTTGTTAACCCCGCCAGCTTCACTGCGTCTTCTCCTTTCAGCCTCTTATGGGTCCTTTCTTGACATCACTTTTCGTCCTAACAACTGCCCTTCTCAGCAGCACTGCCTTTGCTGTTTCTACTTCCCCACTTAGACTCACGTGGAGGGCAGTAGTTGTCACTCCTCCTTCTCTGGAATCCACCACAGCTCTTAAAATAATGCCAGTTACATATGACTCACCTGTTGAATGACACTGAGGATGATAAAATAGTCAATGAAGACATTTACTACTATTCCCACAAGTTCTGTGTGATTTACTTACTTTTCTGAAAACAAAAAACAAAATAAACAAGTGAACCAAAAGAGCATAATTCTCTTTAAAAATAAGTGTCATGTGTAGCAGGTTGTCCCTATTGTTGATGCTGGAAAAGCTTTTTATGGAATTGTTCCAATGGATGTTTTCATTAGTACATATTAAAGTTATTAACGAGAACACAGGAGTGAATGCCTTGCTTAGGGTAAGTAAATATAGTAGGAAACACAGAAGGAAAATATTCAGGTCTGTGTGTTGGAGATAAAAGCCTGGCTAGTCAGTTGAGGAGAATAGTGCTGAAATGTTCCTGCTCACAGATGTTCTTGCTGTCATTACTTCTCTCATTCATTCCTTTTCCAAGACCTATAAGGAAAGAAAATAGTACTGTTGCTTTACAAATAGATTCGCTCTAGGGAGTCAACCCCCCTTCAAACTAATGATACTAGCTATTATTTTTCGAAGATATACTAGTTACTTAAAATAGACATTTTGCTTAAAATGAAGGACTGAGCCTTACAAATGGCTTTGACCAGGTGATGCAATGCATTATGTATTATCAGGAGAAAAAGCAATGGTGCTCAAACAGAGAGTGAACGCACCAGATTTCAACAGCCTATCTGAAGATGACTGGAGCAGTAAAACATCCACACAGTGTATTTCTTCCTGTTTCATATTTTCAATCCTTGTAACAATAAAGACGAGGAGAAAGTAGACAACACAGTCACTGTCAAATGGTTGACAGTGCATTTAGTAAGGACAAGATATTGTGTAACTAGCTTATTTTTGAGGAGAGGAGAGATGTGAATAAGCTCATTATCTTAAATCTTGGTCATCCTCAGAATTGAGCCTCTTAATAGACCCATATATTGGCCTTGGATTCTTCAGTCTATGAAGTTAATGGAATTGGCCCCAAACAAACCAATACTTAAAACAGTACCTCAATCTGTCACCATGATGGTTTCAGCCACTCAGACCTTGAGATGGTTACCTGATTGCTTAAACTTAGAATGACTCTTTCTTTCTTCAACCATGTTTCTTTTCTAGCTAGTATATTCTAAATTGTAAAAGGTACAGAGATTAAAAAGAAACCTTAAGGTCTTTTCCTTTTCTCTTTGTTTATCCCTCACATTTCCTCCTCCTATTCTATGAATAAGTGCCTTTAAAAAGGCTATATACAATAGAGTTTGCATTGAATTTTAACATATTCAGAAATCTTTGCTTTCAAGAGTGGGACAAGTCATGAGTTCATTTTCTCATTGGTTTAAATCAGAGCATAAATGAGTATTCTTGTGGTAACAGAAGTTAAATTTACTACTACAGTGAAGTATAGACACCATGTGTTCTTGAAAATTATATGGTACAGGTTGCATGCAAATTAGACCTACTTTTCCTAGAGAATGTGTCCTGTTGTCTCATTATTCAGGTGCTTCCATCCTTCAGATCCCATGGCGAACTGAGAACAACACAATATTGTTTACAATCATCTTCTAGGAAAAAGCCATTTACCACTGTTGAATATTGGAGACCCCTATTAGTATGAGTGTGGCTTTCTATAGCAGTCTTATATTCCTACAAAGCATTTGAAGAAAACACAGTAATAAACCTAGAAGAAAACTGTTCCAGTCTTTATGTCAGAGATTGAAGTGAGGTTAGTCAGTACCTGGGGAGAGCAGTGCTGTAATCATTCCTCTAGGCACTGTCCCTGCTGTCATTGCTCACCTCGTCCATCCTTTTCTAAGACCTATAGGAAAAGAAGAAAAAGGTGTGGTTTATCAAGACATTTGATTTTGGGAATCATCCACCCTTCAAACTAATGATAATGGCAGTTATTGTTTTGAGGATCTACTATTTACCTGTAAAATAGTACGTACTGGCTAAAATGATTTTTGCAATAGGCCTACAAGGGCATGTTTATGGTACAAGGTCTCATGCAGAGCTAATCAGTAACTGAGCAGGAGGTAGAAATGTCTGTGGAGATCAGCTTCGTGGGGGTGCGACCTGTGTTGTCACACAGAGCCCTGGGCGCGGAAGGGCTTAATGCTCTGCTGCAAGCATCCTAAATTTTATAATAATTCTTTGAACAGAAGGTCCTGCATTTTCATGTTGCACTGAGCCTTGCAAATCCCATAGCCTGTCATGTCCCCCTGAATGCAAAGCTCCTTCCACTCCACTCCACCTCCCAGAGATGAATGCTGTCTTGCAAAAACAATTTCAGCAGGAATAGTGACTACTTGTCCTCTATCCACTGATGACATGGCCTTGATGCAGTCTGCTTGTCCCACTCAGCTAAATTTGATATCTGAATTGGTTGCCAGATTGAACCTTGGACACAGCAAATATCTGAAAGGCCAACCTTCAAGTTTTTGTTTACTGAAGTGACAGAGAGCAGGAAACAAACTTTTGTAAGGTGTTTCACTACCCCCTTAGGGTTTTTCATTTCTTCTAGACATATTCGTTGTTTTTATTTTTATACAGAGGCATTTTTCTTCTCCCCCATCATGTTCTAATGTTTTATTCTGTTTTGGATTTACCTGAAATGCATTGCTTTTCTCAAAGGGCTACTATTGAGATATTTTATTATTAATAACAGACATTTACTTAGTGTTGAGCAAGTAGTTTGAAGCCATTTTTTAAATAAATCAAATTCTTCACAATCTAAATTAAGAATGTTGGCTTTGACATTGGCTGATTGACATAATGACTTTTTTCTCATTTCCTTCTTTATCTTGAAGCATTCAACACTTAATTTTCTAATTTAAGAGTTAAAGAAATAGTGTGGTGCATTTTGAGATTTACATTTAGATCAAAACCCTAAAATAAAATTTTGTTTCAAGCTGTATTTAAAACAGTAGCCATTAGTTAGTGTTTTAAATTGTGACAGTCTCCTTCACTGAAAATAACTACGCCCCTTTTTTTATTTTAAAATCGCCTCAGCTACTGTCACACACTGTCATACTTTAGGGAATATTAAAATCACCTAATCTAATCCCTTTGCTTCATAGGCGAAGGGATTAGTGTCCAGAAGCCATAGGGGGCTTGTTGGAGATTTCTTAGCCAAACATCGATCAATCAATCAACCACACAACTTCCCCTGAGTTTCAGCCCAGTAGCCTGTTCTTGCATCACAGAAATCTTTTTGATGCTTGAAACCACTACTGTTCCTTTTTAAAATTTTTTGCCCATGGCAAATATTTATAGAGTCTTAAACCTAAAGTTAAAATTTAGCTTACCAAGGCTCTGTGAGTATGAAAATCAGGAATGTAGAGGAAAATGTTAGCTTTTCAGTAAAAGGGCAACTGTGTTTTTGAAATGTTCAGTGTTGTGTCAAAAAATTTCCCCCTTATCAATTAAGTTCTCCAAGAAAGCAATAATCCCTTTGGACTTTTTGGTAATTTTATAACCCTGTGATATATTTTATAAAAGCAAATTGCCTAGCAAAAGGTGCCAGTAAACTCATGCCCAATTAAGTACACTGTTAACATGATATAGCAGAATTGGGTGCTTTAATAAGGAATGGCAGCATGGTGGCCCCGAGAAAGGAATGTCTTTTCTCACCAGGGTGCGGGGTTTTGGGTTGCTGGGGGGATAATAAGTATATTTGCAATAAAGACATTGTCAGAAATGTCTTTTTTTTTTTTTTTTTTTTAATTTTTTAATTTTATTTAGTTATTTTTCAAGTACAGTTTTTTGTCTATTTTTCCCATCCCAGCCTCCCCTGCCCCTTGCTCCCCACCTCCCTCCCATTTCCTCCCTCCCCCTTAGTTCTTGTCCCTGTGTCCTTCCTATTTGTTCCTCCAAATCCCTCCCCCTTTTTCCCCTTAACTTCCCTTCCTTCTCCCCTCTGGTCACTATCCCCTTGTTCTCTATTTCAGTGTCTTTGTTTTTTGGGGTTTTTTTTTTCTGCTTACTTGTTTGTTTTGTTGTTTAGCTTCCTGTTAAAGGTGAGATCATATGGTATTTGTCTTTCAGCACCTGGCCTATTTCACTCAGCATAATGCTTTCCAGTTCCATCCATGTTGTTGCAAAGGGTAGTAGCTCCTTCTTTCTCTCTGCAGCATAGAATTCCATTGTGTATATGTACCACAATTTTTGGATCCATTCATTTACTGATGGGCACCTAGGTTGCTTCCAACTCTTGGCTATTGTAAATTGTGCTGCTATGAACATTGTGGTGCATAGGTTCTTTGATATTGACGTTTTAGGATTCTTAGGATATAATCCTAGCAGTGGAATTGCTGGGTCAAAAGGCAGGTCGATTTCTATTTTTCTGAGAAAAATCCATACTGTTTTCCATAATGGTTGTACCAGTCTGCACTCCCACCAACAGTGAACTAAGGACCCCGTTTCCCCACAACCCCTCCAACATTTGTTGTTTGTTGCTTTGTTTATGATAGCCATCCTGACTGGTGTAAAGTGGTATCTCATTGTGGTTTTAATTTGCATCTCTCTGATAGCTAATGATATTGAGCATCTCTTCATGTGTCTCTGAATGTTCTGTATGTCCTCCTTGGAGAAGTGTTTGTTCAAGTCCTTTTCCCATTTTCTGATTGGGTTGGGTGTCTTCTTAGAGTGGAGTCGTGTAAGTTCTTTGTATATTTTAGAGATTAAACCTTTGTCTGAGGTATCATTGGCAAATATGTTTTCCCATACAGTTGGTTGTCTTGCTAATTTAATACTGTTTTCTTTAGCCATGCAGAAGCTTTTTATTTTGATGAGATCCCATTTGTTTATTCTTTCCTTTACATTCCTTGCTCTAGGGGACATATCAGTAAAGAAGTTGCTGCGTGAAATATCTGAGATTTTCTTGCCAATGTTCTCCTCTAGGACTTTAATGGTGTTATGACTTACATTTAAGTCTTTTATCCACCTTGAATTTATTTTGGTGTATGGTGTAAGTCTGTGCTCAAGTTTCATTTTTTTGCATGTAGCTGTCCAGTTCTCCCAACACCATTTGTTGAAGAGGCTATCTTTACTCCATTTTATGTTACTGCCCCCTTTGTCGAATATTAATTGACTGTATTGAAGACAACAGAAATTGTCAGTTCTGTGCAACCGACCACTGGTCTGAGAGTCCTTAGAGACACAAAATGGACTCCAAATTGGTAAATTATTGATATCAAAATATTTTTCTTCTTAAATCTATCCACCTAGAACTTAAATCTATGTTCCATGGATAGTATATAATTCTACTGACCAGGCTGTGTAACTTACGGTAGACAATTAATTACAAGACTTTTATAGGATAAGTTGTCTCTGATATGGCTTGGAGATAAGAATTTTAATGAAATATTTTTGAAGAAGGAACCAATACAGAATCTTTTATATGATTTTCCCTATTTCTTCATGACTAATTTGCCTAACATTTAAAGATTCACTTATTTTTTAATTTATTTTAATTAGTTTACATTAATATTATTTTGTATTCGTTTCACATGTATAGCATAGTGATTTGACAGTCACATACTTTAGAAAGTGTTTCTTGATATTTCTAGTGTTTGCCTGGCACCATACATATTATTCTATTATTGACTCTATTCCCTATGTTGTAATGCTTTACATCCCTGTGATTACTTTGTAACTGCCAATTTGTGCTTCTTAATCCCTTCACCTTTTTCACATGATTACCTCTCCTCTCCTCTCTGGTAATGATCAGTCTGTTTAAAGCAGATGTAAACGCAGGTCATCCTTTATATTCCACACAGAACAACATCATTCCTAATTCAATTTCATTTCTGTTGATCACCATTAACAAAGCCACTGCAGCGGGACAGTTCCTTTGGTGTCACTGGTCAGCCAGTAGGAGGCAGCCCAGGCAGGGAGACGGGTGTAGGTGTGAACTTCCCCTGCACTGCTTGCTTGGTGTCCCACCGAAATCTGGACTAAGTTACTTAACCTCACTGAGCCTTGTTGGTAACTTCTTTACAGTGGATGTAATAATAATACATTAACTTGTGTGCTTTTTCTCATATAGAGATGTGTTATTGGGTGAAACATGAAATGACAAGGGGACGGGGTAATTCTGAAACTAAGATTCATCACTTTTTCTGACCTTTCTGTCAGAAATCCAATCTGACAGCTGTATTCTAGCTGCAATGGAGTATTTACAGGAGATTGCTTTGACTCTGTCAAATATTTGGAATTGCCATCTACATAAAAGTTTACCCATGAACCCAAACGGATTGCAGGCCATTAGCCCTATGCAAAACCTGACACATGCTTGGGTTGCAGACCAGGTCCCTGTTTGGGGGCCTGCGAGAGGCAACCAATTGAAGTTTCTGCCTCTTTCTCCTTCCTTTCCCCTGTCTCTAAAAATAAATAAGGAAATAAATAAAATCTTAATAAGGAAAAAAGTCAAACAGAAAGAATCCCCATATTAGCAACTGTGGAACTAGGGTACCACTGAAATTGTTTGCGTTAGAGGTGTGCTAGTTGGCAAGCTTTGCTAACCTTGCCGGTGTTGGTCTGGGGGAATCTTTTGTTACAGTTCTATTTGTTTTTAAGTTCCTCTTGTACCAGTGCTATTCAGGGGTAATGAATCTGTTAAGGGAGATTTATAGTTCTTTCCTTTTAGGAGAGAATATTAACACTCCCGTTTTGCCTTTTGTGGCTTGCACACATTATCACTAAAGTACATTATCATTTTTCATCTGGTGGCAGGGAAGATTTTATCATCTTCTGCGTTAGGTGGCTTGCCCTGGGCAGGGAAGGGATTAGGTCTGTCAGAGCTAACAGGACTGACTTTGTCCCACTGTGTTTTTTTATTTTGCCAGTCAAATAGAAATAAGGGATAATAGAAACTCATCAGTTGCTATTTGCAAAACTATTTACCTTCCCTGAATATTTTGGTCTCTTATTGACATAAGCATTGACCACCTTTTGCCATGGTGGATAATTTAT